TCTCATCCCAGCCAACACTAGCACACCAGCCCTCACTTCCAAACAAACACCAATCCACACCCGTCACAAACTCGGTATGTCTACCCATACGCCCTAGTTCTGCGCCAACCACTGGACCAGCGCGCATCATATCCATATCTCCACCCGCCACGTCTGACCGGTCACTCCACACTCGACAAGTCATATCGTAGCTAGCACTCAAAAGAACATTAGAAAGATGCGGCGACCAAGCCAATTTCCGCACAGCATATTCATGCCCGAGCATAGTGGTCAGCGGCCCTTGTTGCGGGGCCCGGATATCAAACGTCCGGATAGCACGGTCAACGCCGGCTGTAGCTAGAACAGTCGGACGGTACTTGTTCCAGTCGTGGGTGAGGGCTTCCGCAGGCGGAGCAGGGCCGCCCGGTTGGCCGGGGATTGCAGGCGCCGGGGGTCCGGCGTGGATGGGGATCTGGGTGACGAGGTGGTTTGAGGCGGAGGCTGGGGTGCGGAGATCGAAAACGCGCACATATGAGTCTGAAGATACGCACGAGATGACGTCTGGACTGTGAGGACAGAAGGATGCGGAGTAGGTGCAGCTATGGGTTGGGAGGGTGAGGAGGGACTGTGGGCGATGTGGAGACCAGATGCGGACTGTGCCATCCCAGCTACTTGAGCAGAAACGGTCCTTTGCGACGGGGTTCCAGCTTACGCTGAATACTTCCCGCGCGTGCTCTTTCCAGTTTGAGATTGGGAAATCGTTCGCTGTGCAGTCGAATAGCTTGATGCTGCCGTCGCCTGATGCGGCGAGGACTTGGTTCTCGTGGATTTCGGACCATGCTAGGTCATATAGTGAGTCCTGTGTCGTAAACCTGGAGGTTGTGGTAGCGCCGAAAGGTTAGAACTCTGCTCTTAGTGCCGACTGCGTTGCACACTCCGCTGGGTCTGCGAACATCCCACTTACCATTTTAGCGGTTGGATTCCATTGGCAGTCAGCTCCAGAATATGCAAGCGGCCATTGCCAACTAGACCAAAGTTGGAAGAGCTTGCAACAGCTAGCCGATTGTCAAAGAATGGGGAGTATTTGACAGCGCAAC